ACATGCACCAAGCGGGAGGCACCAGCTAACGAGAAGATCAGCAAAACCCACAAAAGAGACGAGACGAGACGAGACCAGAGCTCTCAGGGGGGGGGAGGGCTGACGAGGGCCGACCGTATTCGGTCGTTCCACCCCATCTCCTCGCCCAGCAGCTCCGACACTATGTCGTTGTGCTCCGCGTACCACTTGCGCAGCTGCGGCTCGGACTCTTTCCTCTTGGAGTAGGCCGTAACCACTTCCGGGTTCTTCCTCCGGGGGTCGCACGAGGCCTCCCTGTCCACGGCGAACTCGAAGAAAGAGTGCTCGGCGGCGAGGCCGGCGAACTTGGCCACCTCCGCCGCCGTCTTCTCCGGCTCCTGGAACAGCTTCTCCGCCTGGACCACAAGGACCTGCTTGTTTTTTTTCGTCGAGAGAGGGGGGGTGGGGGGGGGGGGGGGGGGGTGGGGGGGGGGGGGGGGGGGGGGNCGGACCGACAAATGAGTGATGGGGAACGCGTGCATCTGCTTTTGGTCGAGAGTCAAGGAGACACGTGAATGGTGGTAGTAGATTTTTGGGCGGCTCGCGCGCCAGTGTGTGAGACTTAAATGTAATACTTCTGGCGACCGCGCCAACCGGCTGACTAGTGAAAAGACGCCCGTCTGAGCGCGGCTGAACAACGCTTGCCATGCAATCTGTCATTCGAATCGTTAGGTCTCTTGTCTTCCGCACGCACCCCTCGCGCGAAAACTACGATCCCTGCGCGGAAATCCAACCAACATCATTCGGTTCTCGTTCTACTATTACGCACGACCCTCTCCGGACAGTAGCTGTGGCATACAGCAGCTATCGGTAGTGGGCTTGTTGCTGACGACGAAAACAGCGACAAACATTATCATGCCACTCGAGATGATGGCCACCACCGCCACCGCACCTGCGACTCCCCAAACGCCCGCTGCCACCGATCAAGCTGCGCAGCGTAGAGACCCTTCAACAGCGGCGTGTGGCTCTTCTCCAAGCCCTTCTGGCACGCCCAT